GCGGAGGTTTTTCTTCAGAGGCTTCGAATTGCCGGCCGGGCTCCGACTGTCCCCTTCTGCACTGAAGCCCGAAGGGTGCTGCGGGGAACCCCCGCGCTGCGGCAGCAAGGCTGCCTTTGCGCGGCGCTTAGCATAAACAAAACCACGCCTGCAAAGGGCGCTCTTCACTTATTTATTCCGAAGTAGCTGAGTGCAGGTAAACAAGTTGTAGTGGAACCGAAATCCGTTAGGAACTTAACACCGTTACCTAAAAGAAAGAGGTGATGTATTCTGTGCGTAAAATGTCTGTGTCCGCCTTTTCTGGTTTTGCCCTTTGGCCGTTTTTTATTTTTTTTCCGAATTATGGAAGAAGAGCTGACAGGTGCTATGCTGCCAGAAGTTTTGCAGAAATAGACCGGAGCAGAGGAATCCTGGACTATCCCTCCCCGCAAGGGGAGACTTAGATGTGTAAGTTCAACCTCCTTTAGACATCAGAGAATCCCTCTGAAGGAGACGCACATTATGGCCATCCCAGTCAAGGTTTATCCTGTATCAGATACTAGAAACTCCACTTCACCGTCCAAGGATTTCCCTGCTAGGGTTTTCTGATGTCTAGTAAGGGTGCTGAGTTCCTCTGCAGTGCGGGTACAGTTCAGTGCTGAGTCAGCCACGCACATGATGCTCACCCCTGGGTGCTCAGACCTTCCTCGTTCCGCTCTCCGTGGAAAGGCTTCCCTAGGAAAGGGGAAGCTGCTGCAGCACTTCCTTTGCTCAACATCACGAGCACAGGAGGTGCTAAAAATTAACAGCTCTGCTTCACAATATCATCCGGTTACCTCAGTGTTAAATGTATTACAACGCTGCCAGCCTCTATTCCTTAAATTAAAAATAAGCAAGTGAATTGACTCTATTGTAATCTGAAGGAGTCTGTTGCTTTCGGGGAGTGGGAAAGGTTGGGCTCATCCCAGACAGTCTCCACGGACCTGCCCTGGGGGATCTGGCCCAAAAGGTCCATGACTCTTGCCACCCTTCCACTACAGCTCTGACACCACAACACCAAACAGCTAAAGCTGTGCAGGAGAACTACAGTTTGTGGGAAGTCCCAGGCTGAAATACAACAACCCGGGCATTTAGTTTTTTTCCCCCCTCACTTTTCTGATTCTGCTGTATCAGAGCCATTTATAAAATCAGGAGGGGAAAAAGATACGAGCAGCTTATTCCTGTAGGAACAGGCAGGTTCCTGGGCTAGGTCTTAAGCAGGGCTTTGTATAGGACCTGTGACATACCACACCAGTTTCTAAACAGGTTTTTCCAAGTATTTCTGCTTGGCAGAGGGATTGTAGGACTGTCAGTGGAAGGGGACAACTCCAGCAGTACAGGTTGGACAGCCAAGATGTAAAATTGCTTTTTTAATAATAAATGATCTGTTCCCTCCCTTTCTGTGCAATTCCTGCCAGACCGGTCCTGTGATTGACATGCCAGTGCCTGCCAGCTTCAACGATATCACTCAAGACCCCAGCTTGGAGAATTACATTGGCTGGGTTTGGTATGAGAAAGAGGTGCAGCTTCCTCTCCGCTGGCTTCAGGATGACCTCAACACCAGAGTGGTGCTCCGTTTTGGTAGTGCCCATTACTACTCCATTGTGGTATGTTGCACAGGAGATGGTCCGTGTGTTTCCAAAATCCTGCTGCGCTAAAATCTGTCCTGTGACTTCTTCAGCAAACACATCTCTGCCTAGATTTTGTATCCGGTTGCTATTTTCTTAACGCTTGGCTAGTTTCCTCCAGTCAGGAACTCGGCCAGGCTTCCAAAGCCTCTCTTTTCTGATCCTCCAGTATCAGGACTAGTAACTAAAACATTTCCTTGCTACAGAATCTGCCCCAAATAATGTCTCTCAGTGACGCTTGTACGTGACCCAGACCTAGCTCCCAGTTATGGAAGGGCTGCTAGGTTGATCCCTCAAGGAGTAAGAGCCCAGGAGGTTCGGTGTTACTGGGAATCCTGACTGCCCTTTGCTGGGCTCCTTCCCTTCTCCCTGCTATGCTTGCTACAAAAACCCAGTGACTGCTGCTTGGGCTCACAGGTGTCTTCTCTTGCAGTGGGTCAATGGAGTGCAAGTCATGGAGCATGAAGGGGGTCACCTCCCTTTTGAAGCAGATATAAGCAGCATCATCCAGGGCAGCCCAGGGATCCCCTGCCGCATCACTGTCGCGCTCAACAACACTCTGACACCCCATACTCTGCCTCCGGGGTCAATTCAGTACATGAATGACAAAACAAGGTGAGTTGCTAAAGCTCTGCACTGCTGAGCTTATCCCAGGGATGAGAGAATGGGAATTTATTCAGCTACTGGTTCATCAGACCCTCCAAGCAATTGTATTTATGGTGAAACTCATCAGTTGAGCAGGGAGTAGTTCAAGTTTTGGTGCCATGAGGAATCTGCACTGAGTTATTGCGTCTGTTTTACACACAGGACGCTGAGGTTAAGTGATTTGCCAAGTTGAATCCATGGCAGATTTGAGAAGCTTGAATTCAGCTGGAAACTGCAAGTACCAGCTATCCTAAAGGATCAGACCTCTTCAGGCACTGGGTATTTGTTGAGTGGTAGTCCCCTTCAGTGTAGCAGCAGTAGCACTACTGAAAGATAGATCCATCCTGTTATAAAGACTATTTTACCAGCTGGCATCTATTATTACGTGTCTATTTTACATTGCTAGCATCCATATGCTTCCTTTAGTCCTTGTGTAATGAAACATAATGCAGCCATTTCTCCTGTCTTGCTCACTCAGGTATCCCAAGAACTATTTTGTACAGAACATCAGGTTTGATTTCTTTAATTATGCCGGAATCCATCGCCCGGTTGTGCTTTACACCACTCCTTCTGTCTACATAGATGATATTACTGTGACAACTACTTCATCAGAGAGTGTTGGTAGGTCCAGAACAATTACAGCAGCTACCTCAGGCCCCAAATGGAGATGACAAGGGCAGCAGAAAAAAATATCCTGCAAAAGTCTGATTGAATTTGTTTTATAGTGGCTTTCTCTTCAACCTGAGCTGTTCTGTTGCACAGCTCAGCAGCTGCAAGAATATGGTAAAGAGTTCAGAAGCAATAAGAAAAAAAGTGCTTGCAGGAAACTGCTGTTGAAGTGAAAGGATGATCAGGTGTTTCTCGAAGTAGAATTTCTCAGTAAGGGCAATCTTCCTGCCACTTAAAGCAGGATTATCTCTAACAAACAGAGTTTTGTGACACACAAATCTTTCTGGAAACTCCTGGACCTCAAGACAGACAGGTTGTGCTTCTTACATTTAATTCATGCCACTCCATTGTTGTTCTACATCTCCCTCAATTTTTAATGCTGCTGTTTCTTGCATATATTTTTTCCTTTGCAGCAGTCTCTGATTGTCTTTTGTTTCCTTTGAACCAGCAATGGTGCAATACCAGGTGTCAGTTGTTGGCAGCACACTCTATTCCTTGTCCCTGAGTTTACGGGACCAAGAGGGGAAGGTGGTTGCTACAGGCGATGGGCCAAGTGGAGAGCTAAAAGTTCTGAACCCAAATCTTTGGTGGCCTTATCTGATGCATGAGAACCCTGGATACCGCTATTCCTTAGAGGTAACAGTGACATTTCTTCCTTTCTTCGTGCATTCTGTCTGATGGTCTATTTAATAGAGTTAAGGAACTGCCATATGGCCCATCCTCCCTACTCATCTTCTCTCACGGATCCTGCTCAGGCAACCAGAGTGGCATTGCTAATTATGCAGTAATCAAATCAAGCTTTGACAGCTTCCTGGGTTCTGAACTGAAAGGTCTGTCAGCGAGAAGAAAGGCGTGCCTGGAGCACGTGCATGCACTCCAGGATGCTTGCCTTTCACATTTAGGGTCAACCCATCCCCTGCAAAAGGACTGTTTGAGACAGTACAGGGGAGGAGGTATTGTGAAAGCTGAGAGTAGAGTCTCTGAGGAGCAGGCTGCTAACCTTTCCACGTGCTTTGCTATGCAGTGAGCTTTCTTCCCACTCCCAAGACAAGAGTTCAGCTTCAGTAGCACGAGCCTGGAAGACTGTGAGTTAAGGATGAGTAGTGACGTTTAGGTGCAAAAATCAGGGCAGATGAGCTGCTGTGAGTTTCCAGGGGCTCAGGTTCGTATCTCTTGTGAGCAGATGACATTTCAGTCATTGCCGGGTATCAAGGTGCAGGGTGGGAGAGGTGTACTGCTGTCTTGCCTAGGGGGATGAAATGGCATGAATGAGTAATGGGAAAAGACACCGAAGCTCTTGGGGTGAATAAGCCCCAGAATGGTCATCCAGGGTTCATTTCCCATCCTTCAACCTCCCCAGCTTGGATTTCTATTTTCTGTTAAGTCAGACCTTGCTCCTTTCCTGAGGACCACAAGAGGTGGCTGGAGGAGCAGGGCTAGGAAATGGATGGGAGGTCAAGGTAGCCCTTACAGACGGGGGCAAGGGAGGACCGGGCATCCTTGCAAAGCCCATCATGTCACTTGTGTCTCCCCCTTGAAAATCCAGGTGAAAATGCAGGCACAGGCAAATGGGGCATTGCTGGAGGATGTGTACACACTCCCGGTCGGCATCCGCACCATCCATGTCACCAGCACCCAGTTCCTCATCAACGGCAGGCCCTTCTACTTCCATGGCGTCAACAAGCACGAAGATGCAGATGTAAGTGTGTGGCACCCACAGTGAGGGCCCTAATGACACCTGGCTTCATTCTGCTGAGGCAGCACCCACTCTTGACTCCCCCCTCCACTCCAAGGGGCCGTTTCCTCACACCCTTCTCCCAAGCTGGGAGCTGTTACGGGGAGCTGGAGTGAACTTCTGACAGCATTAAAGGGACACCACGCCCAGCCTTGCTATAGTTGTAACATCCCTCTCAGGGCTCACGGGCAAGCCCATGTTTGCTGGCAGAGGAGCTAAAATGACCCTCCGGCCATTGCTTCCATCAGAAATAGCAGCGCTCAGGTTCCCCATGCTGGAAAATGCTGGGAACAAAGTCTGTGGTGGGGAGGTCTGAGCAGCGGTGGACCTGCAGGCTGAGCCGCTCTGTCCCTGCCCACGCTGCCTGCCAGGCCACTTGCCTCAGGAGCAGCGGGCACAGGCTCTCCTCACAGGCAGAGTCCTGCAGGTCCGGGATCCTCCTTCACCCTGTCCTCCCCAGCCCACTTCATGGGTAACACCAGAGGGAGGGAGAGGGAGGCACCTCTCCGAAATGCCGGGCAGCAGCAGTGCCAACAGCTTGACTGCAACTGCCATCCCCTCTGCTTCTGCAGACAGCCAGGGTCTGAGTGTGCCTGTGGCAGTGCCCCTGGGAAAGGCAGACACTGCTCGGAGAGGTGGAGCAGTCAGCTAGGAAGGGTACCCGAGGCTGGAAACGCTCTGGGAGTGAGCAGGGAAGCGGTGGTGCCCTGCTAACGGGTGAGGAGAAGCCTCAGCCCGGCAGCGTGACAGGGTGCCATGTCTCTCTCCCCCCCAGATCCGTGGCAAAGGCTTCGACTGGCCCCTGGTCGTGAAGGACTTCAACCTGCTGCGCTGGCTGGGGGCGAACTCTTTCCGCACCAGCCACTACCCCTACGCTGAGGAGATCATGGACCTGTGCGATGCTTACGGCATTGTGGTGATCGACGAGTGCCCAGGAGTGGGCATTAAAATGTCGTAAGCAATTGCTCAAAGGACCCTTCCCCTTCTTTTTATGTTCATCCCTGCTACACAATCCCCCTCCCGTCCCTCAGCGCCTGTTGTCTTGATAATGGAAGTACTTTGCTCTATTTGGAAATCAGCGTGTTGCGCCACGTGTGCCTGGTGAGGTTGGGCAACCGGAGGGCGTTTTGCCACGTGGCCATCACATCATTCGGTCTGGCTCAATTAATGAGCCCAAACCACAGCCCTGAACTGTGCAGCAGGCTTTGGGGTAGTAGGGCAGAAGCCATATTCAGTATCAAGGCTCAGCTGTGCTTATACACCCCAGAGACTTGAGTTTTCACAGGGAAAGACAAAGGGGATGGATTTTATACCCTCACCTCACCGGGTCTTACTTCCTTTTGTCTTTAAGCGAGAGCTTTGGGAACAAGTCCTTGCAGCATCATCTTGTTGTGATGGAGGAGCTGATCCGCAGGGATAAGAACAGACCATCAGTTGTGATGTGGTCAGTAGCCAACGAGCCGGCATCGGAGCTGCCCCCAGCAGGTTACTACTTCAAGTAAGTGCATCTGCTTTTACGGAGAGCTGAGGCTTGAATCTTGACAAATGATGCATCTTCTTCCTTTGGGATAGCACAGAGAAGTAGTAAAGAGAGGGCAAGCATTTTTTTGAGAACCCTGAAACAGTACCCACAGATACAAACTAAAAGTGTAACTGCTGCATGTGTTGAACTGATGCTCAGAACCACACAACACTCTCAACTTGTTTCTGAACCAGTAAGGCTCTGCAAAATTACCACGAGTCCACTTGGTCTGAGCATCCCTTCTTGACGTAAGGGTCAAGCAAAAGCAGACCTGATGGGAACAGGATATTCCTTGTTACCAGTGGAAGATGAGTGCTAAATTCTTTGAAAATTGCAGCAAAGCTGTAAAATAATAAGCCTTTAATTCTGAAGATGAAGTTCTTCAGTTAGTGCTAGTTAGTTGGTCTGCAGGGGATTGTGACACCTCACTTCAAAGCCACTGCTTCGAGTCCCTACAGACTCCTTGGTTTTATTTTTAAAGAGATTTGAGCTTTGGATAGCCAAGAGTCATTTCTGTAATGGGATAGCAGCTATAAGTGCATTAAGATGTAACTGTGAATTTTCAGTCTTCAGAATGATCCATCACCCTCCTGCAATGTCGAGGTAGCAGCAGAGCTTGACCTTCCCCTTCTCTCTTAGCACTCTCATTCGGAGTTTTCTCAAAAGCAGCCAACCTGTGACTGCTCTGCCTGCTGTGGTGCCGGGTTGGGACCTTGTGCTTTTGCAGGAACACAGCCCGAGAGTTATTCAGAAACCTCCCATTACCTTTCTTTCTTTTTTGTCTTCAATGTCCCTGTCCCAACATCTAATCTGCTGGCACCAGCAGACAAATTAACATGTCCATGTTTGGAATGCTTCCACTCTGGTCTTTATTCAGGTGGGATAGCAAGCAGCTTTGTGGCAGACAGTCTCCTTGACAAGATATTTATACTCCTACAGAACTGGCTAGAATTGCAGGCGCTTTATAGCAGCTGATCACTAAGCATCCTGCAGTATTTAATTAAAAATACTCTGTCTGCGAAATCAAAAGCAGTTCCAACTGTTGAGGGGGGGTGGAAGGACAGAGAGACTGGGGAAATGGGGCTGTGCTTCTCCAGAGTGGTGTTGAACTCTTGCTTTACTGTTTGCAAACAGGACAGTGATAGCTCACACTAAAGCTCTCGATCCCTCCAGACCAGTAACCTTTGTGACAGATGCCAATTACGCTCTTGACCATGGTGTAAGTTTATTTTCTAGCTCTTTTAAAAATTCATACATCAAATTTCTTCTTGTCATTTGTTTTACAGTCCTTTTCCCCCCACCTCCTCAAGTTTACTGGAGGTATTTGACAGGGAGAGGCAGAAGAAAACTTATATTTTTGTTTCTAGTATAAAGCACCTTATCCTGTAGTTGTAGTTCAGCTGAAGAAAACCCCAAACCTCTAAGCGAGAACACTGCTTTGTCCTGCATGAAGTATGCGGGATCAGACCCCTGGATGCCATTAACATTGTCATACTTCACTATTCCATTGATTGTGTTTACTAATGCTCAGGATTTTCACTTGCAATTAAACCAAAGCTTAAACCTCTTTAAAAATGCTAATGTACCTTCTGGAAGTCTAAATGAAGAAAGCTTTGCTTTAATTCCTGCTTTAAACTGCTCTAGATCTTATTTGGCAGATGTCTGTTAATGCTGAATAATCTTAAAGCTCTTCCAGCTTCATAATTAAAGTCCTAGAGCTGCATAAATAGCCAACATGCACTTTTCTTGCATGTCTGTGCCTTAAGCTGCCACAGCATGAACCAAGGATCTTTAACATGCATACATTTGTTTTTGGAGTAGTTCCTATGCAATTTCTAATTTTTCAAGGTGGCTTTACAAGATTTGTCACTACTGTACAACACTTCTAGCAGGTGAGTGTGTAGGTACATGATACTACCCCATCCCTCTTACAGGTTATTCTTTGTATTTCTTTCAAGCTGTCCTACCCTTGGCAGGAATGGCCTTCTGTTCCTCGAATGAGAGGTCTGTTCCTTGCCACCCCAGGAAAATAAAACTGCTTGCCTTAGTTTAGAAGGAACCCAGCAAGGATCTACTCTTGGCTATTGCTGTTTCATCAGGCACACACAGACTCTGACATCCCATCCCCACCAGCTTGAGGAGACACAGGAAAACAAAACCAAAGAACAGATCTCATACACTGATGTGATATTAGAACTTTTTTTCTTTTATTACAAAACATGTTAAGAGAACATTGAACAAGTTACATACAACATCACTTTATCTTTAGTGGGCTTTGTGCCCTTTTATCATACTGTCCATGTGGTAGAAATGGCATATAACTTGCAGAATGCTTAGTCTTAGTATTGCACCATCGATGCACAAATTTAGTTGCTAGTCAAAATATTTGACCACTAACTTGGTAATCACATTCCAATACTCAAAAAAAGTACATCTAAAATGTACCAGCAAGCCAGAGACATCTTGGAAATTCAAAAACTTCTAATAAACCTGAGGATGAAATGGGTTGATTTTGTCTTGTTGCTGTGACTTCCTAAGTCCGTAAGAAAAATGCCAAATTAATGTGCCTTTAGCTTATTAAATTTATCCTGCCTTCTTTCTGGGAGAGGTGTCATGTTGGGAGGACCTGAGTGATGGGGGAAAAGACTTTATTCTATGTGTAATAAAACTGTATTCCATGAAATGAACCAAAAGGAGGATTTAGCTTTATGAGTGAGTCATCTACTTTGAGCTCTGTGACAAAACACTCTCACCTTGTTTTTTGTAGGCTCCTTATGTGGATGTAATTTGTGTAAATAGCTACTTCTCCTGGTATCATGACCCAGGCCACCTGGAGGTTATTCCACTACAACTCACAACACAGTTTGAGAACTGGTATAAAACCTACCAAAAACCCATTATCCAGAGTGAATATGGAGCAGACTCGGTTCCTGGACTTCACAGTGTAAGTGTTATACATGCCCTAGATGGAAAAAAAAACACTGCTCTTCTTACAGAGTCAGCAAAATTGAACTCGAAGAGATGGGTACCATTGAGCCTGACTTGTGAGTGTCAGAAAGACTCCAGAATTGTAATCCTGCTCCAAGGAAATCTACTGAAAACTTTAAGCACTGAGCACTCTGAAATCTGTCCCTTGGCATTTCTAGAAAATGCTTAATTGAAGAGAGGACACTGGAGACTAGACATTCATTTCATGATGCTACCCTGCACAGAAGGGGGTGCCACTCCTATACCTATGGTGATAAAACACCATTACCAAGCCAAACCACAGACTTCCCCCCCAGGTGTATCTGGCATTGTGTTCATATTTTATGTGCATTTCCCCTTGTAATTTCAGTAGTTGCTAATTGTCACTATATAGCCATTTTAAATGCAGCAGCAATGAAAAGACCAAGCAACTGTAAAGCTTGTCTTCAGGAAGTCAATAGGAAGTTAACATATGGAGCCTTTGCTGAGATTAACTGTCACCTTCATTCAAGGCCACCTCTTTTTTTCTGGCTGTAGGATCCACCTCTTATGTTCAGCGAGGAGTATCAGAAAGCTATGCTAAGAGAGTACCATTCTGTTTTTGACAAAAAGAGGAAAGAGTATGTGATTGGGGAGCTCATATGGAATTTTGCTGACTTTATGACTAATCAAGGTAAGCTTATATTCTGAACAACTCTCCATCCTTTTTGCATGGTTTATGACACAAAGAATACTGTGCTGTAGGGTAGGACAAAAGGGCCCTCTGCTTACCAGGACAGAGCATAGCTGGTTTCTATGACAAAGTCTAGCATGACCAGAGCCAAGAGGGCATGTCCTGCCTGCACTTAATGCATTCTCTCTCTCCCACTTGAGCTCCTAGATGTCCCACCAGGAGATGAGACAATGTGCCAGGGCAGAATGCAAGGGAAGCTTGTGAGCAGACCCAGATTACTTCCATTTCTAGGCCATCCTCAATTCAGTCAGCTGTTAGGGATGTGTCTCACTTGCTTCATATTTCATCTACAACCGCCCTTAGTAACAGAGCACCTTAAATAATGTTTTACTAACTTGGTATAGAGATTTAGCAATAGAAGACCAGATGCCACGCTGGTAGACAACAGTCTATCATGACACTCCATCCACAATTAATAAATCAGTGCATTTGCAAAGTATGGGGCATTATTTAATTTACAGTGCAGTCACACAGAAATTAAACGATTACAACTCAGAAGGAGACCTAGTAAGGAACCAGTTATGCATATGCCACCTGCAGTGAGTTAGGGTGGTGAACAGTCAGCATTCATTTCAGGCAGAGAAACACCATTCAGAATAATCTGTAGAGCACCAGTATAAGCATTAAAAAGCTAAGTCATCGCAGAGAAGCAGTCAGAAAAATAATACCATTTCCAAATAGGAGGATGGAGAAAACGTAGACAAGTTCATATACACGTATGCAGTTCCATGTCTCTGCATGTTGCAGTCATCTCTTCTAGTTTCCTATGAAAACTAAAACAGGCAAAAAGGCTACAGACACCACTAAAGGACAGTACAAATAGCTAGTAATCAACATTTTCACCATCAAATTTCAAGGTGGAACTAATGGCAGAAGGAGTATCTGCTCTAAATATAATACTGATCAAGTTAATGGGCACACCTGAAACAACTGTCATCAACTTACCAGTTGTAAATACAATGAATTGCAGTTATATTGCTCAGTTACATCAATTAATCTTGCCAAGCTGACACAAGTTACACCTGCCACGTTCCCCACTGTACCTGACTACATGTAGAAGAAAGTGCGTAGGTCTCTTCTTCCTAACCTGATTTAGTACATACACTGTAACAGTTCACAGTACAGGATATAAGAGCATTTTACATATACTTGCTTTATTTTATAACTTCTCTACAGGGACCACACGTGTTTTGGGGAACAAGAAAGGAATATTTACCCGCCAACGACAGCCCAAATCAGCTGCATTTGTTCTTAGAGAAAGGTACTGGAAGATTGCAAATGAATCAAGCTGTCTTCCTCCTATAATAAAATCACATGCCCTCTTTCTCAAATGAAATCAATAGGTGTAATGGCTGGGTACTATGCTGAACTTGTTCATTAAATTTGTTTAAAAAATATTTATGTCTGACTCAAGTCTTGCAAGTCTAATGCAATTTCTAGTCCACCTGAAGTAGTTACTATGATACAAAGCAGATCAGAAACACTCGTTTCCTGTGCTTAGCCATGTCTGTAGGCTTCCTGTCTCCAGGTAGTAAAATGAATATTCAGAGTTTCAAGGAGCTGAAGTTAGAGATCCTGACTGAGGTATCTTTTTATGGCAAAAAAAAAAAAAACTATTACATGACACAAATCAATGCTGAAGACTTTAAAAAAAAAAAAATCCGTTACTCTAAATAAACATCACATCCCTCCAATGCAATTGAGGTTTTCCAGTTATACTCCCCTAACAGTTACACTACTGAGATCACAGCACATTGTCCACAGAATTACCAAACAGCACAATTTATATAGCTTCTCACACTCAAAAAAGAATGTATGTGGCTGGCTGAGAAATTCTGAGAGCTCACAGCATTCAGGAGGTCTATGAACCACTGCTTCTGTGAGGATACCCAACATACTCCAGTACAGTATGGAATTCATACTACAGCAGCAAGGTGGAATATGTTAAGATAGGTAGGTACTACATCAATTTAACTTTGTTTAAAACTATTTATTTTACTCACAGTACCAGAACTGCCACTATTACATGTGGTTTTACCTTCCAGCATGGAAGGGCTTCCTTCATATTAAATTGTCACTATGCACTACAGTAATAGTAGTCTAGATGTTTTGCTTTAAACTTTTTTGATGTTGGCCTGAAGCATTCAGGGGTAGGGCAATGTGTAAATTAAAGCGCACACAATACTTTAGACAGTAATGTAGTGTAGTAACATCCCTTTCAGGCTGCAGTCTTAAAAGGACACTAAAGGCCAGGCTTTAGCCTGTAACACATTATGCCAATACTCACAGAAGAGTTCAGAACACACTGTTTGCAAACTTCTTATTGCAACATCCCAGGGTTGTCCCCAGAGCAGCGTCACCTGTGGCAGAACCACAAAACTGGAGGCTGCCTACTGAATTTTGGAAGTTGGCACAATTATGTAGCTTCATTATTCTGATTCACAGATACTATGTGAAACCGTTATGATTATTTTTTCTGCAACTGGCTCTTCTGCTAGTATCTTAAGTGACCAAAACATCTGCCAATAGAGAGAAAATATTTGCTCTTATGTCATGCGGTGGCCAAATCTCTTTTTAGATGTGGTACATTACAAACCAACAACACCTTCCACACTGCCACATGTAGAATAAGGACATACATGTTTACTGCAGACTTCAAAACAATTTTTGAGTTTTTAAGGAAAAAAAGAAACATACTCTCCACATTCCTTATACTGTGTTAGGTCTGCAGATTTTCTGTATAACTGAAACCCGAGAATATGAAAGTCTATCCACAGGGAAAAGACACTTGCTCAAATGTACCGTGGTAGAAGAGTGAATAGCATATTTAAGCCCACTACCAGTGTTCGAAAGTCATTTCAATTTCTCAATCTAGACATAATTTTTTTTAAAAAAAACATATTCTTCCCCATTTCAACAGACATGACATACCAACAGCTTCCACATCAAAATACAGATAACGATTTGACACTGTTAACTCATTAAGAACTAGGGCTCAGATCCCTGTGATAACACAGGGCTTGTGGTTGCAGAAGAGAAAGCCATTACTTTCAGTCCAACAAAACAGATGCAAAGTTTAATATCCACACGTATGGTAAGCACACATTTCAGTGTCTTAGCTCCTGCTTGTTCTTAACAGCTCAGTGCAATTGGAAACCCAAGCCACCTATCCAACCCCTCCACAAAAGCTCCCTCCCTCCCTCCCCCCCAATCCAGGAAAACATACAGCAGTTTCCAGACACTTTGTCATCTTGTTGGAGTGGAGTTAAAGCAGACCTACAGAACCAAGAGAAGCAGGAAGGGATAAAAATAACATACTTAACAGGGGTTTTTTGCATGTTGCTTAAAGAACTGTAAACAGTTAAAGCCTCAAGTCAATGCTGCTCAACCTTTACACACCCATGTGCACACAACATTCATCAAGACACAATGAAGCTGCAGAAACTCTATAAACTGGTATCTCCGAGGACCCAAGTGCTTTAACCCTTCTACTGCTAACACACAATGTCTTTGAAAAAAAAAAATTTAAAAAAAAAAATCACAACTTAATACATTTCTAGAAACAGAATTACAGTACTGACTTTAAAAACAGTTTCTAAGGCTCAGACTGAGTCCAAAAAGGCCTCTGATTGGGTTCATTCAAGCTCTTATGTTTGGACTGCACGAATGCAGCATAAGAATGATTGCAGCAAGACATCCACAGGTAATTTCTACATTTATTTTTTTATACCAAAAAGTTATGTGCAACAAATAGAATTCGTACATATTTACATTGTTTTACCTGTTAGCAAAATTGTATCCTAAACCTCCAATAGAGAATCTCTCAACTTATATTGATAAAAGGAACATCTGCCCAGTGACTCCATTTAAATGGATGTTTAATTTGGAGTTTAAAGCACTAGTAATAAATAGTTGATGGAACATACTATACAGAACAAACACCTAATATTTAGGCCATGCTTAATACAGTTTTATGGTAACAGAATACTTCATCTTTTCTGGACCAGTTTTGTCTAGATCACATTTAAACAACATTGGCAGAACCAAAGCTATTCGATCTCTCTTTGACTTTAGCCCACGTAAATTAGGAGCATCAAGTGCTGCCTGAAGCACCTCACCCATCATTCTGAACAATCGAGAGACTCTGTACAGCAGAAGACAAACATGTACTACAGCATCGTCTTGGGTTTGTGTGGTGGGGTTTTAGGTAATGGGAGAGGGGCTACAGCAGTGGCCCCCTGTGAGAAGCTGCTAGAAGCTTCCCCAGCTCTACGTCAGCCCTGCCTCTGGCCAAGGGTGAGCGGACTGGTGACGGTGGCTGCACCTCTGTGATAACGCATTAGAGAAGGGGAACCTGGGAGGAGTTGAGGGAAACACCTCTGCGAACACCAGGTCAGCTGAAGAAAGGGGGGGGGGGGTGCTGGAGCACAGACCCCTCAGCCCGTGGGGAGAGGGCAGGCTGTCCCCTGCGCCCGCGGAGCTCACCCGAGGAGCAGGTGCCCTCCTGCAGCCCTGGGGGGCCCCACGCCGGAGCAGGGGCTGTGCTGGAGGAAGGCTGGGACTGGGAGGGCAAACCCTGCTGGGGCAGCCTGTTCCTGGGAGGGCTGCGCCCCACGGCAGGGACCCATTCAGGAAGAGCTGCAGCCCATGGGAAGGACCCACGTCACAGAATTTCATGGAGGACTGTCTCCCGTGGGAGGGAGCCCACACCAGAGCAGGGCAAGACGGTGAGGAGGGAGCAGCAGAAACAGCACGTGACAAACTTGGCTGTAACGCCCATGTGGGGAGGAGGTAGAGCAATTGGGAGCAAAGCTGAGCCTGGGAAGAAGGGAGGGGTGAGAGAAAGGTGTTTTCAAAACGTGGTTGTATTTCTCACTGTTCTACTCGGTTTTGACTGATAAATTAGAAGCGGTGGTGTTGTTCAAATTAAATTGATGGATTTTTCCCCAAATTGAGTCTGTCTTTTGCCCATGACCATAACTGGCAAGTCCTTCCCTGTCCTTGTCTCAACTCCCAAGCATTTTCTCCTGCCAATCCCACCGGGACAGAGGAGCAAGTGGCTATGTGGCACTGTTGCCCATTGGGCCTAAACCACAGTCCTTTTTGACACCCAGCGTTGGGGGCCTGAGGAATTTGAGATAGGGACCATAATTGGAACAGGTAATGGGCAAAACATGGACTGAACGGGCAAAACATGAACTGAAGCATTAGCAGAATAATCAGTTCTGCAGGTTGCTGCTCTTAAATACGTTATCACAGAGGTGCTACGACCATCACCAGTGGGCCTTGGCCAGAGGTGGGGCTGACTTGGAGCCAGGGAGCTTCAAGCAGCTTCTTACAGGAGCCCCCCTGTAGCTCCTCTCCTGCCATCAAAACCCCACCACACAAACCCAACACAGGTATGCACAAATCTCCTAATCAGAGATTTGTTGCCACTTTAGATATCAAAAGTGGTAGGGAATGTTTAATTGGCCTTAGCATTGCAAACGCTTTACAGTAAGAAACTTCCAAGAACATTCAATTCCTAAACGAGACTTGAATTCTTCGTTGGCCTTAAGAGTAGCAAGTACCTTACAGTAAGAGGATTTCAGGAATGTTTAATTCCTAAGCAGATTTTTGGATGAGGATCTTTTGCCTTTCCTACTGGCCCCTCCTGCAGAACTTTTGAGAGCCAAAGAGGGGGAAGGAGGAGCTCAAATTCAGAACCACTGTATGTATATTATGATATTTTTCCCCTACATTCTCATGAGTGTTGAAACCACAACCAGAATCTGTATAATGCTGCCCTGTCCCTCTGCCAGGCCAGGTATTATTTACTAGCTTTTTACCCATACTCTTGTATCCTCAGATTTCGCAGAATTTGCCTTCAGATTTGTAAGGGTCAAATGAACATCAACCACGCATTTGCCATGACATTTGTTTTGGCTGGGGGCAGGCAGGGGGGCAGTTGCATGAAGCACTCCTCTGATTTCCATCACATCACTAATTGTAACCTGAGCCACTTTACTGGAAGAAATATGCTGTTTCTATCATTGGGATCAATGAGGAAAGAGTCAAAGAACTGGAAGCAAAAAGGTCCAAATTTCTACTGCTATTATTATTTTGCCCTTTATTCAGGCCAACTGCCCTTCTGAAGCACAAGAGAGAAAGTAGAAGAGTTAGGGCCATTTCTAGCAAATCACTTCCAGTAAAAAGTAACTGCAAGAAAAGCACACAAGACAAGAAAGTTCACAATTAAGGATCAGATTTGCAAGTCTGTGCACAAAGTGTAGCTGCAAATTCTTCCAGAGACCAAACTCAATTTCCATTTGATCCCTATGTGCACACAAACAAGGACTGCAGACACAACTGCTGAAAATCTGGCCCTAAACAATTTTACTAAACAAACTGAATTAACAGACTATGCCCACACAGACAAGCACAAGACACAGTGAAGTTAGTCAACACCTATACTTTCAGCTGATGGGGCTTTTTCCTCTTTTTTTGGTGTGTACTACACCCAGAAATTGGACCAAGTAATCATTGATTATACTTGTCTCCATTGCTGCTTGTTCTGAGATATTAGCACTGCGACTAACCATTTCAGGCAGCACGTGTTCACCTCTTCCTTGGATGAAAAAGATGACTTAGTGTAGATCACAGGAATGCATCAAAATAAATCTATACAACATATTAAACAGTGATACTGCCTCAAGGCTTGTAAGAGAACAAAGTAAAGCCTTGAGGGACCAGTTTGACATCATTCGCTCCCCTCATATCAAAGTTCAAGGCATTTGAGACAGAACTCACCATCAAGACAAGCTTTAACTATACTCTGGTCAATACAAAATGCATTTAATGAATTGTTGTCTAAAACTGTAGACAAGAGGGACAAGTAATTTAGTGTTACATGCAACAGATGTTACTCATACCACAGAACTCTACATAAAAGCAGTTTCCACCTACATCCTTGATACAAAGCAGAAAATTATTTCAGTAGTAATTTAAATACTATTTGTGAATTCAATCTAAAAATTCTATCTTCTCTATGGAACACTGCATGTTTCACAGTCAAGTTTATCCTCAGCAACTTAGTGTTTATAATCCACTTCGCCATACAACACAAGTGTCTCTCTGACATTCATGTTGAAGAAAAAATTCCTAAAATTAGTTAAATTAATTCTTTAAATGGGCAGGGACACCTTCCACTAGGTCAGGTTTCTCAAAGTCCCATCCAACCTGCGAACACTTCCACAACTTCTCTGGGCAACCTGTCCCAGTCTCTCACCACCCTCACAGTAAAGAATTTATTCCTTACATCTAATCTAAATCAGCCCTCTTTCGGTTTAAAACTGTTACCCCTTGTCCTTTCCCTACACCCCCTGACCAAGAGTCCCTCTCCTTCCTTCCTGTAGCTCCCTTTATGTATTCGAAGGCCACTCTAAGGTCTCCCTGGAACCTTCTCTTCATGCTGAACGCCCCAACTCTCTCAGCCTGTCCTCACAGGGGGAGGTGCTCCAGCCCCTGATCATCCTTTTGTCCTCCTCTGGACCCACTTGAGTGGGTCCATGTCATGCTTATGTTGGTGGCCCCAGAGCATAAGTACCATAAATAGGTACGCAGTTGGAATTCTTCACCTTTAGAAGCTGACAAGAGCAAAAAGCAGCACAGCACCAATTACAGGAAGCAGCTGAACCTATACATTTTGGTGTCACAGAGTCTTAAAACACAAGTATTTTACTTTTCCGAATCACATCATCAACCTTCTATTGCATTGATTTAAGTTAACTGAAACAATATTGCTACCACTTCTCAGTCTAAAAACTAAGATAGATCTCTTAATACTCTTCTATCCCCAGCAAGTTTGCTGGGAATTTTGTTTGTTTGTTCATTTTTAAAGCAAGGACACTTCTGCCTGCCAAGTTCAACACAAAGTATTTGGTTTAAGATTTTAAGACAGAAGGCACTTTTAACATTCAGTCTTAGAATACTGAGTGCAGAAACAACAGTTACAATTTTGTTCCTTTGTTTAAATCTGCAGTTTAATTTTTTTTCCAATTAGTTATTAGAAAGAGCAATGATAGCATTGTATCACATTTCATTTTCAGGAGCACATTTACTTACTTATCCCACTAAGCAGATTGCCCTTCCAAGGGATCTTATACGTGTCAGGTCTAAAGTTCATTTCCCAATATAGCACAAACCAAAGATCCTGACGAAGATCAATTAAGTAACTGCTTCTTCAGTGCACTACTTGGTTATCCCACTCAGTCAGTGGTTTTCACTGCAAATTGAAATTCTATACTGCAGCATTCATATAACATCAAACATTAGTAACACTGGCTGTCTGACCGCAGTTTAAAAATGAAACAGCTCTGCATGGAAATTAAGTCTTTTCAAAGAACACTCTGATACACCAACCCCCAACCTGTATATAATATCCTGGTGGCAGCTTTCTATTGACCACATTAAGCTATTTTCATTCTGTACAGAAATTAACAAAGTTGTGGTTTAATGAACATACTTCAGGTTTCAGCTTTAATTCCATTTTCATTACTGGAGACAAAAAAAAAAAATCATATAAAAATGGAACAAAACCCAACCGTCATTCTTGTGAAAGCACTAGCAGTGAGTGCAGCAACACGGTGTTCTCTACAGAGGTCACTTCTTCCATCATGTCAGTCGACTATTAACTGAACACTCTGACAGCTCTTAGGCTAACAAAACTGATTGCACAGTGAGTTCTCCAGGGATGAAACCAATATTTCTAATTTTATTTACAGTATAAGTCCTAGTCAAATCTAAGTCCATCAGCTAAAAAAAAAAAATACACATACTGTAAACATGGCAACATTAAATATGGTAATGCTAGTCTAGAATATTTAATGTCATGACCACATCTTGTTATACCTGAATTTATATACAGGATATTTTATAGCAAGTGTTACCCACTTCATAAGTGGAGGGGGAAGAGAGAGAGTCTGTTTTGCTGTGGCTAAGACTCCTTCAAAGTAAAGTTAAAGCTTGTCTTTGATTGTATTAGAGCTTTCTTTCATAACCACATTTAAATTGAAGATTAGCACAAAAAAAAATATCTAGGGCCCCTTCAAATTTATAATTTAAAACTCAGTTATGATTCTTGGGGAAAGTGTCTGATATGGAGAATAAAAAATTACTGCAAAATAAACTTAATGGAAGTTTATTTTGGGTCTTCAGACTGTCAGTCAAAAGTTCAAACAGGCATTATTCCTGTTTGGGTTGGAGTTGCTGTTTCCAGGCCTCGTTCAAATAAACTAGTCGTTTGTAGTTGATGATAAAGAGAATGAAGTTCAGCAAATATGTGATGACGCAGACAATGCAAAATTCCTTCAGCACGAAGTACAGAATGTATGCCAAGTACAATGACCCTACTACAGACACTATGGAGGATGTCATGAGGATTAGAGCTGCTACTGCACTTGCTGTCATACCTGCAACAAGAGAGAGAAAGTTACTACCACTGCTCTCATTCCCCCTTCCACACAAAGCAAAAAGTCTAAGCACTCTAATTCACACTGAAGGCTACTTAGCAAGTTTGTATTACATAAAAGTCTGTTTAAAATACCATGAGTTCAAGATGGCTGACAAATCGCTATTTGAAGGGGAGCTTCTAGGTTCTGTACGACAGTCCTTTGATAAGAAGTATGTGTAGTATTTACCATCTTCCGTATTCCTGAGTTATGGGAAAGTTACAGGTTGGTCAAGTTATGTCTATCAATATTAACAGCTTTATAGCAGACCATATAGTTACAAAGAAATATGCATACATTACAGTTCATGCACTTTTTTTGCCTGCTATCTCTTTTACTCCTGCAAAACTTGTAAATTCCATTTTTATTTCCTCTTTTCTATTGTGCAATCCAATGCTAAATATATTTAAGTGAAAATACCAGTTCAGCAACTGTCCTTACACTTATACTATTAACACCAGAGCAGGAGAAATTGCAATTCTCTTGTTATCAGTTGGGTTTTTAAGCCCTTTGGACAGAGGTATCATTAAACTGGTGCTAAAAAAAGAAGATAAAAATCACGTGTTTATCTGATCTCTTGCAGATTACTCTATGTATAATGCACTCCTCTTATCACCAGTGATCTATTATATACTTCAGGCTCTAAACTGGATTAATACTTACCAAGTAGCATTTGTAGTATATAAAACACGAGTCCAAAAACACTGTTTGACTGATTTAGTGCACTGTCCTTTCCAAAGATGGAACCCAACAGACCAAATCCTCGACTCCATCTGTAAAAGAGTGAAACTAATTAACTTGTATTTGGGCACCTATTGCTTTACATCAGTATTTTCAATTCATCGCTGTTGGGGAAAAAAACCCCAACAAACCCACATATATTTCTGACATGACCAGCACAGTCCTATATGAAGTTCAAGGTTATCCTGGAAAACCCAAGCAGTTTGTGACAGGGGGTGCCCTAGGTACAACTTTATCCCACACATTACTGATTAAAGTTATTTGACACACCAGAAACTATGAAGTTCACAGTTGCAACCTCACCAAACACCACGTCCGATTCTTAGGGTTGTAGTTTAAAGCTCTTTCGTCAAATAAATACTTCCCTCCTCCAATGATAGCTTTAGCAGTTCTCTCCACCACAATAAGCTGGGCACATGCTCACTATAAAAATGGTACAACTTGGTAACTAGCTGGTACCAGCACTGCCAGCACGTACCTCGCTGGCATCAGAGCAATCAAGTCAGAACATATGTTTACACTTCAGCTGCTCCTGATCAGTCTAACACCTTCAGAGGAACCCAAATCTGTCAAGCAGACAAGCTGGGGATGGTACCATAGTAAGAGTCACAGACCTCATTGTGACATTTGGAACTAGCACCTCAACCACAAAATGACTTTCAACTTTTTAGTGGTAAGGTAGAAAGCAGCACAAGCCCTACAAAACTGCTGCTCCAGTAAGGGGGATAGAAGATTAAATTAGCAAATGTAATTGTGCTAGAAACCATTAATTTGATGCCCTAAGGCAGACCATGCCATTATTTGTAACAGCAAAGCAAGGACCATATTTATTAGTGTCACTTGAAAATACGAAGAGAATTATTCAACGTGCAACTTAATTCACTTACAAGAGAACATTAGAATATCTGCCAGCACATCCTTGGAGCATCAAGTCAAGCACTACATAGATGTAAGGAGAGGTTCACATTATCAGATTAACTGTCGCATAGCTATGTAAAAGCAGCACAATTCCTCACTGCTGTTGCAGGAAATGCTGGCCTGCTAGATTTATGCCAACAGAAGTGCAGTTTCTGAACAGTTTGTTGTGCTAGAGACAATGGTTCTACTAAACCAAGACACGACACAGGTTTGCTCTCTGTACACTACAAGAATGTTGCCGATGTACATCATGCATCTGAGTGAAAGGCTACCACCACCTTACAAGCAGTTTCCTCACAGAAGAAAGGCACCACAGTAAGTACAATTTAATACCATCTCCAAAATACTTCATAATCTCACAGCAATATTTTCAAAACCTATTTGGACTAATCATTTTAATTCGAACTTAGTAACTGTCTGCAATTAACTATTATACCCAAATCTTGTGTTCTTCTCCCCAGATAGCAGAGAATTAGGTACCAAATTCCAGAAAGCATGTTTACTACATAAACAGTAAAAAACCCATGCTTTCAACTAGTTTGGTCTCAAATCTTGTGACTGAAGTGAAACTTGTGTGCAAATATAAAGCTTCAAACCATCATAGAAAAGGCTAACACTTGCTTTACCATGGGGACAATGTCTGGTATCCCAGGTGAGGAAGACAACAAGTTAATCGCTGGGAGGAGCAGTTCAACACTGCCTGGCTCCCGGCAGGGCAAGTCTGGGGCCATGCAAACTGCGGGGACCAAGGCTGGTGACACGCTCCCTGTGGCACATGAAGGCAAACAGTCCCAGTGAGCCTAGAGCAGCTTGTGGGCAGAGCAGCCTCAAGGATGGACACCAAAGATCTGGAAAAGCAGCTGCAGAGGCGCAAATGCAGCACTTCACAGCTAAGGGAGCTATGCTTCCAAGAGGGAGGGATTTAAAAAAAACACCAAACACCGTGCATAAGGAAATACTATAAAGTTCCAAAGAATCTCAGTTATGACAAAGCTCTCCTCACAGAGAACTGTTTATTTTTTAGCCTTACTTTGATAAAATGGCCACAGCACATGTAATCTCATGATGTCCAGCTATCAATGCAGTATTAACGAGCCAGAAAAATAAACTAAAGCTATCATAATTTTGCCTTTAATAGGCTATTTTTATTTTTCTATGTTACCACATTTAGAGATGCTTCATTTTACTATCCACAGACACAACTTATTGTTCTAGTCTCAAAGTGAAAATTCTTTGTTGGGTGACACTAAACTTTATTTGAAGACACTCAGGCTTTCCTTACCAAGAAACTAAACAGCATAACTCAAAGTGTGCCTAAGTCTGGTTCTACATTAACTTGGCTCAGAGTAACTGCGAGATGCTAATTCCTACCCTCCCTGTCCTAGCTGTATGCTCTCACTTGTTCTGATGCTCACAAGATCCTGCTGCGTTTGAGAGGAACTGAAGCTTCAAACATCAGAAACTTTAGACTACAGAATCTGACTCTAGTTATTCTGCAAGTGAATAAAATGTTGCTAATGGAAAGGTAACAAGTTCAAGCCCTTCCTGACAGTCAGTGTCCTCAAGTAACTTGTTCATAGCTGCAAGGTCAGAGCAGGGTGAAAGCTTTTTCCACATGCAACAGTTCATTAAGTATCTTGTTGGCCTTGTAGCAGCTTTAAGTACATCAAGTATTAAATTTCAGTCTATGCAGCAGAGCTCTAGTCTCACATCTTATCCCACACCCTTCAAGACAGCTAAGAAGCCTGTGGTTTAAGACAAAGCACTTTTTCCAGCCTTATAAGGTTTCAAAACTTATAAGGTTTGAAGCGTGAGGAAGTTTTCTGCATCAAACTGAAAAGCAAATTATTTAGACTTTGTGTATTTCTATTTCCACCTGATTTCTCCACTAAAGAAGCTAAATCATTGAATTCTAACAAGGAGGTCCCAAAACCCACTAAAATGCACAATGAACTAAGTAGTTTTGCAGGCAACTGGAGGTGTTGTCGCTCAAACAGGGTGTGTTACCGGGTGTGCAAGGGCCAGTCTCACACCCAGAGCCAAGACACCAGTTTATTCCATAGTTGCACAAAGAAGGGTGCTGGGCGTAATTCCACAAAGCTGGCAGGCTACACAGAACTTCAAAGTATTTATACACTCCAAAATACATGATTACATATTTGCTATAATGACCATTGGCTAGTTACTTATCACTTCTATCCCTCACTGGTCAGTAACACACTCACTTTGATTTAAAGTTACAGCAAGTTTTTAATTTTCTGAGCAAGCTCAAAAGGTGCATCTTTATTCAGGCAGGGATCTCTGAAGCAGTGAGTGTGATTTTTACTATTATAATGAGGATAGTTCTTCCAAAGGACACTCTAATCGCTACTTAAACTGATTTACATTAGACAATTTTAACGAGCTTCCATGTTCCAGGATGTTTCTCTTCAAGGACAGTAGCTCCTGATTAGAATTCCTTACTAATTTTTGTTGATGGTTTGAAGAACAGACTGACCCAGCTGATGTGTCTAATCTATCCTTGTATTTCATGAGAAACATTTGTATGGACAGTAAAATGTACTATATATACTTGGGTGTGATGAGAGCCATTTGTGCTGCCTGCAATGTGCGATGAGAAACAGATGTGCAGTCTACAGAGGAAGAAGGGAGACTGACTATGATAATCTCCCTTCTCACACCAAAAGCATGCAAATCATACCTGGGTTATAACAACTTTGAAAGTCTAGAAACATATCGCAAAGAGCAGGAAGAAAGACTGTAGTCCTAATATTAGCACTGAAGGTTAAATTTTTAGAACAATGTCACAATATTATGCTTCGGTCAAGAAAGATGTTCTTTGTCTCTGTTAAAGCCAAAGGCATCCCCATCAGAACAAGTCGATAGTCGCCTTTGAGCGAGGACAGCCTGGAGCAATTAGACCCTGAAAAGGGGTCATCACCACCTTGGTAAGCAAACCCAAGGTCCATGTATCCCTCACTGAACTCCCCTCATTATAATACTAAAAATCACACCTATAGATCAAGACGACTCTTTCTCAGGTGGAGACCCTTCCCCTGAGCATGCGTAATAATAGAAATATTGTGTCAACAGTATTAGAATTGTATGTAAATTACTAACGAACCATCATAAAGAAGATGGACTTGGAAAATTGCTAACTCTACAAGTTTTGTGTATAAATGGAAAGTCCCATTGGTGTGCTTGATTTGTGGGAAACCACTGAGCACCTAGACTTGCGCAACCCTAAAATAAATATGCAATGTCTGTCTTGAGTGTGTGATTATTGACTTATTGCACATCGGGAGGCGAATCCGCTTTTCAGACAATAGAATAAATTCCAAGTAATAAAACATCAGTAAAAAGGACTATAAACTGCTCAGGAACTTGCCTTTCTTATACAGAATATAATTTACAAGAACTGTTGTTAACTCGGATTAATTTTTTTGATACAGAACACTATGTCAAATGAACTACGTTAAGTAGAGTTGTTTGCACAGTGAGATAAAAGCATAATCCAACATCACCAACTTCTTCCTGGTGATTTATGGCTCCCCATCCATGAAGCAGTCAAATGTTCTGTTGTGAAAATCATGCTGAAATCACCCTGCGTGATTCAGAGCTCTATGACAAACACATGTGGCAAGCCCACTTTTGCCACACCCGAGTTTCACTCCTATAAAAATAAAGGCAATCTGAACTAACTTCAAGGAAGTTTTAAAATAAATCTTTAGACATCTTCCTGTATGTTTCAAGCAACTCAAATTCCCTCTGTTCAAGATGACAGCCTGTTTCACTTCTCATTTGCAGGTACAACTTCAAATGCTCTTTGAAAAAGTTTTCAGAATAGTGATTCAAGAAATCCAAGACAAAGTGTTTAGAACTGTTCATGTAGTTTCCTAACATCTAAAATTGGATACTACAGTGGCTTGCAGTCCAATGTGCACTTCCTTTTATCAAAAGGAGGTCTTGAAAATCATTACCCACCCTCTAAACACTGTCCCTCTTGGTTTGTGATACTTAACAAGGCTCAGAAGTGTTACATTTTTAGAAGTTTAAAGCAGTTCAAAGAAGTTAAAAGCATGCACTTGACACTTCTTAACAGGAAGACAGGAAGAACTGAGGTAATTTTGATCCACAAGTGACATATCTCCAATAAAATCTTATACCATCATTACCTCTTTTGAACAATTATGAATTGTTCCAGAAGAGCATATTATGGAAGTACACTTTAAACATTTCACCATTATTTAGCAGAGACAATACCACTGGCAAAAAGACAACCAAGAGAACCTCATGCAGGACACTAGTATCTCAGCCATTTTAAAGGGCAATGTCGCAGTTTGAGCCCAGAAGGCAACAGAGCACCAGGCAGCCATTCACTCACCCCCTTCCACCAGTGCTGGGAAGGAAAAAAAAAGGCTCAGGAATGGAGATAAGGACAGGGAGGAGTTGCTCACTCATTTAACACAGTCAAAGGTCTGCCTTGTTAGGGGAAGAAAATAAGAACATCACTTTAATTCAAACACTAACAAAACCAACACTTAACAGACAGAACAGGACAGTGAGAAGCTATCTTAAAATACCTCCCCCACCCCTCCCTTCTTCCTGGGCCCAGTTTTG